GCACCCACTCCATGATCAAGAGCTAAAGGGATACCACTGGGTGTTTTGAACCTGGTCCGCTGGAAACACCTGGAAGGGCGAGATCGGATGAATTGCTCGGCAGGTTAGAGTGATCCCCCTCTATCTGAGGACTGCACGTGTCACAACACAGCAGGCTGGCCTCTGCCAGGGAGACCTACTCTGTGCATCCCGGAGCTGAGTATGATCCCGATGCCTGACATCCCCTGCTTTTCCTGACATGGCACAGCCTTCCAGGATTAGGGTTTGCTAGAGGAAAGACAGGGAAGACAAAACCTCCAACAAGAAAGAGACATGTCAGGTTCCAGGGCTAATGAGGACCGTGGGAAACAAGCGTGCCGAAGGATTTCCACCGCGGGCTGTGGCGCTCCTGAGAAGCAGTGCTGCGTCCAGCGACGTGGAGTGACCCCTGTGCCTGGTGGCGCAGCGCAGGGGCAACTACTTACTGCGCCTTCGGGCGTCTGCTTCTCAAAGCTGCTCTGGCAGACATCCAGAAGGGACCACATTTGCAGCAATGGTCACATATCAGTCAGTCTTCTCTTTCTTTTGATTAGGGTGAGGGTCAGAGCTGGGGTCAGTGTTAGGGTACAGTGAGGGCAAGGCCATGGTTAGGGGCTTGGTGTTGGGGTAAGAATGAGTGCTGTGGTCAGGGTGAGGGGCAGTGTTTAGAGCTTAGGGGTCAGTGTTGAGGGTCTTGGAGTCACCTCACTGACACACTTCCCCTCTCCTTCTCCATCTATCTGAGGCCTTTCGGATGGACAGGGTTTCCCCAGGGTCAAATGTGAGTCAGAGGTAGAGCTGGACTATTGGTTGTCTGTGGCTCAGTCCAGACTTCGATAGTAAAAAATAAAATTTTGGCCCTGGTCAATTTGGCTCAGCGGTTAGAGCGCCGACCTGTGGTCCAGAGAGACCCGGGTTCGGTTCCCACTAAGGGCACGTACCTCAGTTGCCGTTTGTCCCCAGCCCTGGTTGGGTCGTGCGGGTGGCAACCACTCAATATGGCCCTTTCATGTCAATGTTTCTCTCTCTCCCTCCCACTCTATCTGAACAAAAAATGGAAAAATGTCCTCAGGTAAGGATAAAAAAGAATAAAATTTTGACTCTGGTCCTCCTTTCAAATGCAACTCCAGCACAGTGAAGGGTGTGGAAGACCTCAGAGATCATACAGGGTTTTCTCCTGTCCTCCCACCTGGGAAAGGTGGTGTTAGCCCCAGTGCGTCTGGGCAGCCCGGATTCCAACAGCCCTGACACGCCAGGCACTCAGGAGACGCTGTGGATTTGTTCAGGACACAGCACAATGACCTGCCATGTCCCCGGTGCACTTTCTATGGGTTAAAGGGCCTTGCTGGGAATGGCAGGATCCTTTGTCCCATCCCAGAGGGCAGCAGTACACAGTCAGGGTTCATACAGGACAGCCCTTGGCTCCTACCCTCTAGGCAGGCATCTGCGGTCCTTCTGTTCAGGCCAGCCTGGACCAGTCAACCCCCCTGGCCAGTAACTGAGCTGACCATGCTGCCGGGCAATTGAACCACTGCCTGAGCACTGTCGACAGCCTACTCATTTCTCAGTTTTCAACATCCATGTGGATGAAACAAGAACCACCTCTCTCACAGCCTCTTAACCTGCCAAAAGGCAATAGCCCTGCACCCATAACCATTCAGCAGACTGGCCCTGCAATCCCTGGGCCTTCCCATTGGAACAAGCCTTTGCCATTTTTGCTCATTGAGAATCGAAGCTATGGGAGCGACTGCATCTCCCGACAGGCTGTTTCTCACTGAGGCCGCATGGACTCAGAGCCACATCTGTCCATGGTCCAACCCCTTCAGTCTCAGGACGTGGGCCAAGTGTGGATTCTGTGCTATGGAATCACCCTTGAGCCCCCCACTACTTCCTCAGGCAAAAACGTTCTTACCCCCCTCACTTGTGGTCTCTGCTCTTTGTAAAGAAGAGAAAGAGACAGAAAAATTACTCACTTTGTTCTTTGGAGATGGCTGACTAAGGAGACCAGGGGCAGATGTGACTCTTGGCTCCCACCTTCCAGGGACACAGATGAGGTCTGTGTGCCATCTAAGGGCACATGAGTGAATCTGGCCCAGTCTCTTTGCTGCAAGGACCCCACGTTCAAGGAAGAAGACATTTGACCCCCAATATCAACTCTTTTCTTCAGCCTGTGGAATTGCCTGTTGCATATGCAGGAGACCAGCAAGAGCACTGGGCGGGTGTCTGCAGCCCCTCCATCAAAGGAAAGTCCTGCCTTTCTGGGCTTCAGCTTCCACCCCTGAGCAGGGGCCTTTAGTGACATGGAATCTGCATTTTTTCTGTTCTGATGCTGAAGACCCGCACCTCAGCTCTCCTTTGGGAACTGCTCCTCATCTGCTTCCAATGCAAACAGTGGAAGAGGGCTGTTCCCACTGCCAACCGGTCCTCCAGGGCTCATCTTCTGGATGTTCTGCTGGGTTCAACTTTGAGAATGTACCAAAGTTAGGACAAGAGCATTTAAAGCTGTGACTTTTAATAGAACCCAGTGGAAGGTGAAACCCTTCCTGGTTGGGTGGTGAGAGCTATCAGTCTGGGATTGCTGGAGGCAACTGAAGTAAGAGAGACTGTGCCTGTGAATGGGGCCACCCAAAAGCACTTAGTAGGATGGAGGACACGAGAGGGACTGGGTCCCACTGCGAGAGTATGTGCTCCTGGATAAGCCAGGTCCAAGCCCACTCTTAAGCTCGCCTCTTGCAAGTATTCATTTGTTTCTACTTTAAAATTTTTAATTTATTTTACCTCAGTAAGTGTGTCAAGTACATTGCAATTGAAGAGTCCTGGCCAACACATCAAAATCAATTCCCCTGAAACAATCTCCAAGGTGCCCTCACTGGATGGGTCACAGCTGGGGGAAATGAAGACACTGGGTGAGGTCAGATATTAGGGAAGATGTTGAACAGCTTCATCCCTACTTTTTTTCCTCTTCAGCGACAGGAAAATCCCAGAACAATGAGAGGACAGCAAGGGGTGAAAAGAGGTGTTCGGATAGCTAATTAGTTTGTCTGTATTTTCTTCATTTTAAGGTTCATTTTATGAATGTTTATTTTTACTAAGATATTACCTGTTTCCTCTAGGTTTCTCGTTTGATGCAGTAGATTTTTACTATTTGATTACCAATATCCCCTCTCTTAGTGCTCTTGAATGAAGGAGAACAGAGTGTAAAAGGCTGGGAACAGTGAAGGTGTGGAAGGTAGAAGTTAGTGTTACAGGTGTCTGATACTGGTCCTACACCTTTAAAAGGCGAGGCTAGCTCCTCCCTCCCCACCTCTCCCCAACCCCAAGTCTTAGCCCCCAAAAGAGCTTGGGTGAGTGCATGGCAAGCTAAACATTTGGTTACATGCAGATTTTATTCAAACAGAAGGACCAAGATTCAGCCCAAAGCTGCAGGGACTATCTGCACAGCTCTATGTCCGGAGCTCTGTGCGTGGGCTTCTGGCTCATCTTGGACCATCTAGGCCTGAGTACAGGACTCAGAACTGTGTTAGCATCACTGTTCCATTTAAATACCTGTAAAATGGAGACAATTGTCCCTGCCTCACCGGCTAATGAGAACAGGAGGTAGAACAAGACATGAAGGGCCTAAAGCTGGATGTATCTCAATGTGAGCTTAGTACTGGGGTCTGGATTCTCATTACCTTTTAATTTTGTGTGATTAGAGCCCTTAAGGTACAGACACACTCCTGTCTACTGTCATGTAGTTCATCTTGGAAATAACACGTAAGTGGAAGTCAAGAGGAATCACTTCTGCTATTTCTAGTGTGCGCTCCTCTGAAAAATCATGAGTGAAGGTTCCAAAAAGTGCTTCCCCCTGCTGCCATCTATTGTGCATCTTAGTAATAACATGAGTAAAGATCAGGGGGAAAAGGACCTCTCTGTTGCCATCTAGTTAGAGTGCATTTTGCAAATAACACCAGAAAAGCTCTTCTTTGCTGCTATCTAGTGAGATGCTTGGGAATAATACCTGAGTGGAGGAACCCAGGTAATACTTTTTTCTGCCATTAATTAAGAATCTAGGTAATTACACCTAAGTAGCATCACCAGGAAAAACAAAACAAAACAAAACAAAACAAAAAACTCTTTCTAATGTCTTCTGAGTGAATACAGCATGTGTTGTGCCCCAGATGTGGTCTTCCATGTCCTGGAAACTGCCCACTGAAACGTGAAGTTCTCGAGGTGAATCCTGGTGTAGAGTTTGGTGCACTCTGAACCAATGCCTCTCTGCTGGTTCTTATAAATGGATGCTTTATGGCACCCTCCTCTCTTGCCTACCTACCTTCCCCAGGAAATTTTTCAAGTAACCATGTACTTAGAGAGCCTCTCTATGTCAGCATACCTGGGGACAGTTGGGTGCAAACAAAAGATTTATTTTGAATGTAAACGGCAGCCCAGGAGGCCCAGACTAAAAAGAACACACTTCTGAGATCAGAGAACTTGGGTATGGAAACCACAGAAAGTCCTTCAGGTGTCAGACTGCAGGGGGGGTGGGGGTAAGGAGGCAGCTGTGTGGGGTCCTGGGCTCTGCCTGGGGTGGGGGCTAAAGATGCCTTGGGGACTTCACTCCAGGTTCTGCATTTGAGGGAGGAGTCAAATGCAAGTTTGGGTGAGCTGGGAGTGAGTACCCCATGCCCTGTGCTCAGGAGGCCCAGAAGGGCCCAACAGGCCATCTGAGGCCAAGCCTAGCCCCGGGGAAATGGCGGCAATGTGAGCTCGCCTGCGGAAAAGCGACCAGAGGCCGCCAGTGGTCCAAGGCTTCTAGGAAGCCAGAGGATGCAGCGGGGCAGGAAGAAATGTGGGCTGGGCGAGGGCACCAGAGAGAGCAGAAAGGGTCCCTTTGGATACCAGGCACCTAGGCGGGGGGTGAGGGGGTGGAGGTGGGGGAGAAGCTCCTGAGGAGCCCAGGGGCCTGGCAGCAACCCAGGCCTCAGAAGCAACCTCACACTCACTATTTTCTTCCACTTCATCCTCCGATTCTGGTAGCAAGTCTTCACCTGTAACTGGCTCAGGGACTCAGCGAGATCTATTCTGGAAAGAGTGGAGTGCACCCTCAGCAGGGCAAACAACCCCCCTCCCCCTCCCAACTGCCAGCTGAGTAGGCCCGGCCCCCAGCTACCTGTCTGGCGTGGAGAGGTACTTCTGCTTCTCCAAGCGTTTCTCTAGACCCATCAACTGCAGCTCGGTGAACACGGTGCGGCTCCGACGCCCCTTCTTGGCCTTGGTGCCCGGCTCCCCGCTGCCGGGGGCCTCCAGTTTCCCGCGGAGCTGCAGCTCCAGGGGCAGGTGCGGGGTGCCTGTAACGCTGGGCAGCCCAGGCCCTGCCGCCAACAGCGCTGAGCCCAGCCCGGAACAGCTCAGCGGCGCCAGCGGGAACTTAAACACCGCCGCCTGCTCAGCCTTCAAAACGGCTGCGGGAAGAAAACGGGGGTCTGATGAGCTCAGGCCCTGCTCCTCCGGGAGACACCCTCCACATCCCGGGCCACAGGTGGAGGGCTAGCGCCTGGCCAGTGCCACCCAGCACGAAATCCTCCTGCCCTGCGAAGCACGAGATTTAAGCCACACCTGGGGTGACCTGCTCCAACGCCAGTGTCCCCCAGTCCGGGAATAGGAACCCCCCCCCCTCACCCTGAACTCTGCCTTTGTGTTCCTTAGGCTTATGCCGCCTTTGAGATTTCGAGATTCTCAATAAACTAGTTCGAAGCCCCAAGGTGCACAGAGCGTGTGTCATCGAAAGGAGAAACCAAGAAGAAAAGATAGCAGGCGGGACAGGAAGCTGAGCGTTGGCCCAACCAAATCGGCATTGCTGCGTTGCGGGGAAAGAATATCATTGGAGTGAGCAGGTCTACTCCTCTGTGTGGGCACAACAGCCAGGCTGCAGGCAGTGGGTTGGCAGCAGGGGTAGGTTTGAGCCCTTTCCGAAAGTTTCAAAACACTCCACAAATCCCGAAATTGTTCTTCCTGTTTTCTCTGTTAAAACTCTTCCCGGTGAAGATGTTTCCATTTCATTAGCCATAAATAATTTCTTTTGCCCGCTTCAAACGAACTATTAGCCACAGTGCGGCGGAGGCAATGCGCAGCGGTGAGGCTGCATCGAAGTTGGACTTAAAACGAACTAACTGGCCCAGCTGCCCCGTGGGAGGACAGAGCACTGGCTGGAGGGTCACCAGGACCCAGGGCGATCGCTGGCAGGGCTGGGGTCCCACTAGAACATGGGGGGAGGCCTTCCTTCCCCACAGGCATCTCACTGTGGGCAGGTGCTGTCCCACGGAGTGAGCGGGGTCTGGCCAAGATTGGGGTGTGAGAAGAAGGCCAGAAAGAAGGAAACTTGGGGGAAGGTGGGAGAGGGAAGACAGGCCACCCGATCGAAAATATCCAAGAGATGCCAACGTTGGGTGAAGAAAACGGGGGAATAGCCAGAAGAACAAGGGGTGCGGTGGAGAGGGCAGTGGCTGGGCAAAGCAGGCCCTGCCAGGGAAGGAAAAACCCCAGAGGGACAGAAAAGGCCCAGTGGGAAGTTCAAGTTCCACGGAGGCGCAGTAGACCTGGAAGCGGAAGGGCCAATCGTGCAGTGGCTCACAGTCTGGCCTCTTGTCCCCAGGCAAAGCTGGGGGGTATCGATGCGGCAGCAGAGGCCAGTTTGTCGCCCGCCTGAGACCACGGGCTCCCGGAGGCTTCGGGAGGGCTTGGGCCTGCATCAGCCCCCGGCACAGCACCGGGAGCCGCAGGCGTCTTCCCCAAGGCCCGGCTTCCCCGCCTAGGGCAGTCCCGGCCACCCTCGGCAGGTCCTTTGCGGCGAAGGCCCAGGCGCCCGCAAACTCAGGTCGCTTTGACCCGCAGCCTGAGGTTAGCAGTATGAACCTGCGCCCGCAATAGGAACACGGGTTCGGTCTCCTGGTGGAGGCCGAAGCGCAGCAGTGAAGGAGAGAGCGAACACCCTCAGCACCGGCCCGGCCCCGGGCACGAGCCTGATTCCTGAACTGCCAGGCGATTGTCCCTCCACTTCCAGGCCGGGGCGAAGGAACGGACCAAGGCCCAGCGCTGAGAGCTGCGTGCCCGCGACGGCGCGGCTCACCCTCCCTCCTAGGCGCCGGCGCCCAAGCCCCGCACGTACCCAGGTGGCTGTGAAGGGCCGCGCGGCCAGCAGCGCTTGCACGCCGAACTTGAGCAGCTCGCCCGCGGCGGCTGCAGCGGCGGCGGCGGGCGCGGCGCCCTTGGGCCCTGGCGGCTCAGTGAGGATCTCCTCGATCATGAAGCTGCGGTAGCGGTGCGGCCTGTGGTCGACGCAGCCTTCGGGCGGCCCGAAGCGCGCCTGCCGCTGCATCACAGCGCCCACAGCTCAGCGGCAGCGGTGGCTTGGGCGCAGGGCCCGCGCGGGGCTCTAGGCCGGGCCGCAGCTCCCGGCGGCGCGCGGGCGCCGGCTCAGGCCCCCTCCCCCGCCGGCCGGCAGGGCGGAGGAGCAGGGCGCGGGCGGGGCGCGCGGGGCTCGGCCGGTCGGACCCGGGACTGCGCCCCCGCCCCGCGCCGCCTCGCCTCTAGCACGGCGGGCTCCGCGTCACCGCCCCGCCCCGCCCGGCCGCCCCGCCCGGCCGCCCCGCCCAGCGCCGCCGGCCGCCCCCCACTCCACCCCAGGCTGAGCCCGAGGGAGGGCCAAAGAAGGGAGGAAGGCGGGAGAGAGGGGGGCCTCGAGAAGGGCCGGCGTACCCAGACCGAGGGAGACCCAGAGGAGCGCACGCCCAGGAAGGAGAGAACTGGAGAGATCGGGAGAGGAGACCCCCAGAGAAGTGAGCAGAGGGATCCAGAGAGGTGAGAGAGGGGCCAAAGCAAGACAGCAAGGGCCACCCAAGATGCCAGACAGAGAGGTGAAGGTGCCAGGGACCCCTAGCCCTGCGCAGACAGAGACCAACAGAGGCGCGGGAGCCAACGGGGCAGTGACGTGCCGGCGGGCTCAGAGTCAGGCAGTAAAGAAAGAGAGGGGACAGCTAGGAAGGGCAGCAGCCTGGGTACGAGTTAAGGAGACCGGGAGAGGTCGGAAAGAGAGGCCAAGGCCACGCGGTTTGGCTGGGAAAGGGGTGTTGGTGCGCAGCTCCCGGCCAGGAAGCATGGTGGCCACCCCGCAGCGGTGCTGCAGTGGGCAGGAAGGCGACTCCTAGAGCAGAGGCTGCACCCATGCACTCCCGCCTCAGTTTACCAGGCATGGCCTCATGTTTCCCCACCAAACTACCCTGAGAGGAAAATTTGTTCCAGCCGCAATCTACTTTATTGCCAAGCGGTACGTGGACACATCCTCCTTGGCAACCCCAGGGAACTGTGGGTGCCTCCTTGGCAATCCCAGGGAACTGTGGGTGGGTCATATCCTAGGTAGAGGAAGGGATGGATGAGAGGAGGAGGAAAGGCTACACTTTTCCTTTTTCCAGCTTTGGAACCTCGGAAAAACCAGCACTGGGCGGAGCTGGGTGAGGGATGTGGGATGCCATTTGAGTTTGGGGACAAACTCTGAATTGCTGTGTCTCATCTCTGAGCCTGAAAGTCCCCAGTGTGATTGAGGAAGGCCTTAGTCCTCTCTAGCTTCTTCTCACCATTGAAGGAATGTAAACTCTAGCCATGGGGGAAACAATCCCAAACCTCATCTCTCCTCTGAGCTTCTCTCTGCCTCTGCCACTCCAAGATCAGGCACTGCCCGATTCTGGGCCTCAGTGTCCTGACTGGTCCCAGGGAGATGCCAGCACTTGGCTATTGTCAGGCTGTGAGGACTGAATGGGGGTCCTGCACCCGCTGGCCCCAGAGGGTCTGTTGGAGAGTTTTTGCATTAGGGCAAGGAGGGGTCAGGTGAAGGTAGATGGGGATGGGTGTCCCCAAGAAGCTAAGGGAGGGTGCCTGCTGCCCCTCAGGAGTCCCCCACCTGGGGTCCTGGGCCACTTCTCCTTCTTATGTGAGCTTGCCCGGGGGTCTCAGTGGGCACTTCAGGAAATAGAGCCTACTATCCCCAGGGCCCTGCCCTGCCTCAAGGTGGTGCAGTTTCTGTAGCTCCAGCTGCTGGCAGTGAGGCCTTGAGGCCCCAGCACATGCCAGGGATTTTGTGTGAATTAGGGAATGGTGAAGATTCCTTGTCCTTAGGGACCAAGAGAATGTCTTACCAGAGGCTCTGATAGGACTAGGACCCTAAGAGCCCAGCTGCCTCTGTCCCCAGATGGTTAAGTGACTTCTGCTGGTGCTGCCCCTCCCTGAACCTCACAGCCATCATTGGGACAGAAAGATGGCCTCCAGGTGCTCCACCCTTGGGTGGTTCTGAGAGTCACAGGGCTCTTCAAAAGGGGATGGTGTGGGACCCACTAAGAGTGATGGTATCCCACACAGGGCAGGCCTCCCTCCCAGTGAGAGGTGGAGAGACAGTCGGTAGGGCCCTGCCTCCTTGGTTGGCCCAGAAGCCACCAGGCAAGAGAAAAGCCAGTGTCTCCTGGAGTCCAAGGCAGCCCAGCTGGGACCCCTCCACACATGTAGGTGCAGAGAACCCCTCCCTAGATGAGTTCTGGGGTGTCACCTACTACAACCACCTACTCTCTCCGATGGGGAAACTGAGGCCCAGCAGGAGGAAGGCACTGGCTCAAGGACCACAGTAAGGACCACAGTGAGTAGGGTTGGTTTTCTCTTGCTCCCTGTAAATATAGTATGGGGCTCATTTTCTCTCAATCCCCCCTACCCCAGTAGGGCCCACCTGCTGTCTCCTCCTCTTCTTGCTCCCATATTTTCCAGAGGAAAAGCCAGGATAGTAGCTTCATTGGGGGTCAGTCCCAGCCACCCCACTGCATCCCTTCACCTCCTGTTTGGGCCCCTGACTGAGGCCTCCAGCTTTCACCATCTCTGAGCCCATGCAGGGACTCAGATCCCATAGAGGGAGCTTGGGTCTCAGATCAGAGGACTTGGGGATCATATTGATCAGCCCTAGCCAAAACTATTTTGCCCCTGGGGTAGGAGATCATTTTCAGAATCCAGGCCTCACCTCTAGATTTGGGAGAGTCAGAGGACTAGTGCAGTCCAGCCCCACCCCCATTTCACAGGCCCTGAGACTGCTGAGTGTCCCCACCACCCCACCCCACCCCTTGAACTCTGGCCTGGACTTTCCCTGGTAGCCAGGAGAGCCCTGAGCTTGAGCGCCAGGGCTGGGAACGAGGCCCCCAGGTTCTGTGAGGGAATGCCCAGCCGGCCTCGGCGGGTCCAAGGGCTGGAAGAGCCCGGCCTCTACCCGTGCGCCCCACACACATTTCCGCTGGGCGGCAGATCCTCTGGAAGCGGTGTCCCGTCAGCGCCATCCCAGAGCAGGCTACTCACAGAGAAACCCCTTTTAGGGAAAGAGTGCTCACAATAGCCGAGTTGCGCAGGCGAAGGGTTTTCCCAAAGAGTGGGGTCTATTCCGCCTGGAATGGAGGTCTAGAGAAGGGAAACCCTGGGCAGCGTGGCCTCCGGACCCCCATGCGAACCCAGCCCAGCAGATCTATTCCACAGAGGAAGCCACCTCACCCCACGCCTGGGACCCTCTGGGCCTCCCGCAGCCGCTGCAAAAATCCCGGAAACCGTCCGCCCCGGCGGGCGCAGTGGAAAAGGTGACCTCAGCGCCCCAGGCCAGCCGCCCTCTCCCGCGCTGGCTACAAGGGGCTGGGGCAGCAGGGCGTCCGGCTCCCTTCCCCCCGCTTCTCAGCCTCTGGCGCCCAGAGCCTCGAGGAGACAGTGACACGGGAGAAGGGGAGCCTCCCTCCCTAATCGAACCCCTCTGTCAGGGGCGCAGGTTCCAGACCCCCCTCTTCCAGCGCAGCCCTCCTCCTTCACCGGCGCCTCCGCCAGGGTTCTGTAGCCTATGGGGGGGGGGGGGGACAGGGCCCCTGTAGGGATGGGGACCCTGAATCCAGAAAGGGGCAGGCAGAGGCAAGGTGGGGGCCTGGGTCTGGGGACTTCTGCTCGGTCTCAGGCCCCTGCTCCCTCCAGTCCCCACCAGACCCTCGCCCGTTTCCTGCGTCTCCTCCCCCCGCTGCCGCAGGCTTGTGTTTTACTCGGCAAAACGTAGTGGTGGCCGGGGCGGGAAGGGGTGGGCGGTCTCTTCTGGATTGGTGGGCTCACCTCGGGTTGCAACTGCCCCACAGCTGACCGCGGGGAGCCCTTAACCCCAGTGGATGAACCGAGAAGCCGGGCCCTGAACGCCCCGCGGGCCAGGTTCCGCTGCGGTCCCGCGCCCCGCAGGGCACCTGCGCCCGGAGTGGAGCTCGTCCTCCTTCGCCTTCTTTCCGTCACCCTCGTTCTGGGGCCTTCCCCGGGCAGGCCACGGTGGCGCCGGCTCCAGGGCCCCTGCAGCTCAGTCTCCCTGAGAGTGCGGGGCGGAGGACACCGGGACCCGCCGGGAGAAAGTCGTCTAGCCCGTGGTGCGCACCCCGTTCTTGCTCCAGTGCCCGGATCAGAGATGGGCGACCCATGTCCCGCCTTCCCAACAGGAATTGTGGGGTTATAGACGACCGACCGGTCCTCACGTTCTCAGCCACAGCTCCCCGACCGCACTGGACCCTCCCTGCTGGGAAAGCCGGTCTCTGCGACGCCGCCTGTGTGAGCCTTTCCAGTCACGGGTGGACTTTCCCTTTGGACCATTTCAAACCCTGTGAACGTGGGGCTCCAGTCGCGTTTGGGGCAGCGTTTTAAGACACAGTCCTCCTTTTCCGGTTGAAAGTTTCCCCCTTCAAGTAATTTACAAGTTTTTTCCTTTGGAATTGGTGACTTCCTTTTGTAACTACTCTTTAAATGTGTGATTTTATTTAGAAGTGTGCGTTTTAAAAGATCATAGGGAGGCAATAACTGCTTTGACCCATAGGAAACCGGTTCTTGGTGTCCCGGGGACCCAAGGCGATTCTGCTGGATGCAGCGCAGCCCCCCCCCCCCCCCCCCCCAGCCTCTCCCTGGGCGGTTCCGCCTCTGTTTCTAGCCCACACCTCAGGGGGCCCCTCTGCTCTCATTGCGACACTGGATCTGAGTCCTGGAGCCCACACCGGGGACAAGGAAGTCAAGGACATCGTGGCCTCAGGCGGCTCAGTGTGGGTTCCTCCTCAGGGCCCGCAGACCCTTCCAGAATGTGCCGCCCGAGCTGCGAGCTGTGGGCGCTGTGGGCGCTGTGGGCGCTGTGGGCGCTGTGGGCGCTGTGGGCCAGACATGAGGGAGCCAAGGCTGGGACGCTGGGTCAGACTCCCGCCTGGACCTCTGAGCGCTTCGACCTTCTCGGAAGAGCAGGATCCTGTTGGCGACTCCATCCAGGCAGGTGCCGGTCTCCATGGCCAGCTCGCCCCTGGT